GGCCTTTGATACTGTTCCTCTTGATTTGTTATGGCATAAATTATCATCTCACTGTATTCATCCAGCAATAGTTGTGTGGATTGAAAATTAACTTTCCGGAAAAACACAGCATGTTATAATTATAGGCATTATGTCAACTAAAATAACAGTTACTTTAGACGTGCCACAAGAATCTTCTTTGGAACCTTTGTTATTTTTTATTTGTAATAATGATATTGTGCAGAGTCTTTATTGCAATGTCAGATTATATGCAAATGACTGCACCATTTATAGGAACATAATAAATGAACACCATGTCATTAGCCTACACAACGATTTAAACACAATTCAAACTTGGTGTTGCACATGGTGTATATTTTTGAATAGTGCTAAATGTCAATTTATATCTTTTACCCCGTAAACATTTGCCTGTGAGATTGAATTATCATTTGGACAACATATCACTTGGACGATATCGCATCCAAACCATGACATAGGTGCACCTTCTCTATACTTCTAGTGCTTGTTATAATGTCTGTGCTGTGTTCTCATGCAGTATCACTCGTTCGGATTTTTAGTCCTCAGTACTTGTCATAATTCAGGCATTTCTATATGTATAAATTTTGCTGTGCTTATATGTATAGTATTTTTCTTCGTGCTTTAAGACATCACTGCATTTCTGCCATTAGTTATTCTTATGTATAAGTTGCTATATATTTGTTACATTTCTTGTATCACCCATTTTGTATTCTTGCAAATTTGTTTATCGCAACAATTTTTCTCGATGTTTCCATATATTGTTCATTGTAATGTTCCCCACCTGGCTGGTCTTCAATTACCAGAGTATTTTCTAAATAAATAAAATAAAATAAATAAATCACTTTAACGGGTACAGCATTAAAAATACCTTGGCAGTCATTTTTCAGAAAATCTGTCATGGACTAGACATATTGAACACGTAACATTAAAATCTTCCCGAATGCTCAACCTCATTAGACGCATAGTACCCCGGAGCATTAAAGAATACTTTTATAATACAAACGTTAACCCATTACTCGAGCACGGTTGAGCGTATCCAGAATTGCGCAGCCAGGTTTGTCTCGGGTAATTACAACTATAAAAGCAGCATTTCATTAATTATTAAAGACAACCCTGACAGGGAAACCCTAGCCCAATGCTGCTTAGCAACGAAATTGGAGCTTTTTTCCCATATTTACTCTGATCTCACAGGTATTAACAAAAACTTGTACATTTTCCCCCTCACTTCATCTCTGCGCGTTGTGATCATGACTGTAAAGCACTTGAAACGCGATGCCGCACAAATGTGTTTCAATAATCGTTTTTTCCTCACACCTTCTTGCTTTGGAACAGACTTCCTGGAGGTATAGCTGAATGCAAAACACCCTCCCAGTTCCAGACGTTCTTGCAATCAAATTTCCCGTGAGCTATAAACTAGCTGTTCCCTTGCTTTTGCTTGTGCTGTCTTTTCTTTTTTTTCTTTTCATCTTTTGGTGAGATTGGGCGTGAATTATGTGTCACCACTTTTTATTGTTGCACACACTGCTTTTTTATTAGCTCATTTTTTTACCTTTGTCTTTGTGTAAACATATTTTTTACATGATTATTTTTTTCTCGTGTTACCCCCTGTAATAATGCTCTCGTGGTGCTGCAGATACCGTCATTACTCGAATCTAACGTGCACCTTTTTTCTGGTTAAGCGAGTTCATAAATCGCATGCGCATTAAAATCGAGTACGGAAAAAAAAAATGAACACGGTCGTTCTATTGCCATCGGCATTCCGGAATGGCCGCCCCCTACGTGCGTCGGCCATTTCTGCCTATGTGTTTCCCATGTGCGGCACTTCGTACGTGTGCTGAGGAGTTCGTCATTTTGGTGTGCATTAGCATCGATGGCATGGAAGAGCCGACTCCAAAAACTCGACGAGTGCACCACGGTGCCGCTTTTAAAAGAAAAGTCATCGCGTGTGTCGAAACGGACGTAAATCGGGCTGCATCGTGGTCGTTCGGAGCTCCCGAAACGTGCGTGCGGGACTGGCGGAAACAAAAGCAGGAGATTGTCGACAGCAAAGCTTCACGCAAAGGCTTCAGTGGACCAGGGCAAGGTCGGTTTCCGCAAATTAAAGAGCTGCTCGGCGAGTATGTGCTTGAGCGGCACGGCGGCCCGTGGCGACAGAACTGCTCCAAGTGCGGGCTATGCAATTAGCCTTAGAAAAAGGTCTAATGCGGAGCCAGTTTAAAGCGAGCAGGTGCTGGCTAACTAACTTTACAAAGAGGAAAGGCTTTTCCCTCCGAAGGGGAACGAGCATATGCGAAAAGTTTTGCGGAGGAGTACAATGAAAAGCTTCACAGTTTTCAGATTGATTGATTGATTTGTGGGGTTTAACGTCCCAAAACCACCATATAATTATGAGAGACGCCGTAGTGGAGGGCTCTGGAAATTTCGACCACATGGGGTTCTTTAACGTGCACTCAAATCTGAGTACACGGGCCTACAACGTTTCCGCCTCCATCGGAAATGCAGCCGCCACAGCCGGGATTTGATCCCGCAACCTGCGGGTCAGTCACAGTTTTCAGAGGTTCGTCCTAAACTTGCGGCACAACAACGGCTACCTGCTTGGGCAAATCGGAAATGCCGATCAGACGCCTCTTTAGTTCGACATGCCTGGCACCACAACTGTCGAGAAAAAGGGGGCGAAGCAAGTTCGCGTGCTGACATTGGTCCACGGTAAAACTACAGTGACGGCAATGCTCTGTTACACATCATATGGGCACAAGCTTCGCCGTACCTCATGTTTAAATGAAAGATGCTCCCGAAAGGAGTAGTTTTTTCGAGTGGCTTGATCGTGCGGGCCAGCGAGAAAAATGGGTGCGCATTGCAATCGATGTCTTAACGTTTTTTTTTTTCGTCGTGGAAATCGGGTGCGTGTTACAATCGAGGGCGCGGTAGAATCGAGTAAATACGGTACTTGCATAAAACAAAAGACTGTACAGGCTACAATGCATCAACCAGATGGTGCCATGCAGTAAAAACAGCAAAAGTATCATTGTTCAAAATCATTGAGAAAGCACAGTTGATTTAAAAAGCTCATCAGTTCTACAAGAGGCTCAAATGAAGCTTCTTCACAAATCAATGTAGGATATAAAGGTAGCAAGTAGCACAGTTTGCAGAAATCTTCACATCATTGATTTCGATGTACGGGCACGCACTTAAAATTTGCTTTACCTGTGATCGTTCTAGCTTGTATGACTGTGTTTCCTTTGCAAGTGTGTAATTGTGCATAATGTGTATGTGCCCTTACCTGAAGTCTGGCAATACTTCCATGTGAGCATTACTTCTATGAAGCATTCTTGGCCTAAGCACATCTCCACATTCTCCGAGCACAAAATCAAGGAAGCGTGGCTTCTCGTCTTCAGCTGTATTAGATTGTCACTGCCATTTATGATTTACCGTAAAATTCTAGGCAAGTATTTTCACGTTTGCCGCAGTGGAGCACTGCTTATAATGCTCACCTGCTGACCCAAAAGTCGCGGGCTGAATCTCGGCCGCGGCAGTTGCATTTCGGTGGAGGCAAACTATCAATAGTGTAAATATACAATTGATAGTATTTATAGCAGTACAATTGACTGCCAACATTACTACTACCAACAGTACTACTGTCTGTACTGCTTTTGACAATCTTGAAAGTATAGTTCTTCTAAATGCGGAGCATTTCTTAGTCACACAATGTCGTGCTTATCACGCGCTCGATATTCAGTCAAGGGCGTCTTTACTGGCCTTTCCCTTGATGCTTTTCCTTCATTCAATAAATAAGAATAATAAAGATAATAACGACTGAGCATTTCCAAACCATACCCAATTATGCAACATTCATGCGATACCCTCACTACTCAGTCACGTATTTTATTTATTTATTTATTTATTTATTCATACTGTCGATCCCATCAGGGATCTTTACAGGAAGGGCATATTGAATTGTTACAATATGACAATACAAATATCGAATATGACAATACAAATATATTTACTCGAGTTCTCCCCATGAGAAGATGCGGGCGGCATTTTTTGAACAAACCTTTTCTGCCACTAAACTTTGATGGTCCTGAGGCATTATTGGCTCATATAGCTCCAAATGAACTGGAGATCGCAAATAGCTAAGAATAAAATGTGTAAAGACATTTTAATGTAAAAAAAAAATGTACATGCAGTCACACACACGCATTCTATTGGATACTTTCATGCCCAATGTCTGGAGAATCCCTTGCCTCAACGTGGCACCCAGTCACAATCACTGCGATGACAGCAGTGTTATGCAAGTTCCAGCCTCCTCATGACAACACTACCATTTCTCCTTCTGCACTAGCGTGCCACATTGACCAAAATAAGCCAAACAAGTTAAGTGGCAGTTATTAAGATTTGTATTAGAGGCAGTTCTATTTAAAAGAACAATGACACCAAATTCTCATTGAAGAATTGTGCTATATGGGTCAATCATTGGGTGTTCTGCTGAAATTAAAGCATATTCAGTAGAGAACCTAATTTATAACAAGCATTTTTGTAAGCCCGCGAGTGGCCCAAAATTCTGACAACAGTGCTGCACCCACGAGCTGTGATATCCCAAACCACTTGTTTTGCAAGCATCTGTATCCGGTCGACGATATTATTTTGTGGTCAACTTCGCATGCGATGGAGCCATTGGAGCTTTCATATGCTCAGCATTGAAAATCGAACAATTTGCAGTGGCTGAAACTTAAGCTGGCGACTGAACTCCATGAAGAAAAAACGCCATGAAAAAATGGTAGTCACTGTCGGTGGGCGGAGTTTATAGCCGGCAATTTCCAGGGCCCATTTTGCAATGAAACAATCTTTTACTGTCCACTTTTCATACAGACCCTCCACTTGTCTTTCACTGGAAAATGCAGTTAGATGGGTGACTCTGTTCTTTTACGTGATTTTCATTTACTTAAGGGTCTATAGTAAAGTATAGAAGAAATGGCACTCACCACAGCCTTCACAGCGGTTCGGACGAGGACACTTGCTAAGAGGCCCACCACAGTCCGTGCCGCAATAAATGCAAGCCCCACCAAAGTGGGACCCTCGACCGCGTACAGAGCACCATCCTGGAAACAAGGCAACACTGTCTTTACAAAACACAGTGTAAAACAGGTACAAACCAAAAAGTAAGAGCCAGGCAGAGTGGACGTTATGGTTTCAAGGCGCGACGACAGCCAGAGGGAGAGATTGCCACCTGGCGATTCATTGCCGTGATTGTCAATGTAGTACCGACTTTTGCGCCTGCTCGGTTGTTGCCAGAAGCCACGATAAATAGGTAAGATTATCAACTGAGGCCAAAAAAATAATTCAAGAAGGTAATAAGTGTTAGTGTGGCCTCCACTTCACTATTGCCTAAGCAGTTGCTTCACTTTGATGTGACTGTGCATTGAGGACTTGTGCCAGCGATTGGTGTGTACAGTTTATACTGAGCTCATTTCAAAATAAACAGTGCTGTAAATGGCACTCTGTGTGTGTACTATCCCTCTGTTCATTGTCGATGTCATGCCTTACACTTAAAAGAAACCAAAAGGCCAGCAGAATGGAGTGGACACTTCTGGTCAACACAGAATGTTAGAGCCAAGAAAATGAGCCCATGACAGACATTGTAGGAAGTTTTCTTGGCATCGCTGCTGTTTTTAAAGATGAGAGTCTTTCTTGGGGACTTTCGACGTAAAAATTTGGTCTGTCTGTCTGTACATTGGTCTGTTTGTGCACTCTTAACAGGACCAGGTATTTAAAACGGTCAATCCCATCCGCAGCTCCCACCAATGTTGCTCAAGATTTAGCGTTCATACTTGTGCAATTGTCAATAATAAGCAATTATTGCACAAGTCTGGGGCACCATAACAACACGTATATATTCTGCATGTGCATCTTTTGCTAGAAAATGCATACATAAGTAATTTTAAGGACCGTAGCGCTTATCATGCTGCGCTGACCATGCAACGCTTGCACGAAAAGGTGAGTGTTTCCAGCGCTTTGCTAAGACGCGATGGTGGTGGCACCTACTCGTCGCCTTGCATTCCTCACCTTATCACCTCTGAGACGGGCGTGCACACCCGTCTCAGAGCTGTTGTAGCCGGCGAGCAAGGCGACACTGGACTCAGTTGGTGGCGAAGGTTTAATGTGATAAGCAAGCGGCTCGCATGCCAATATAAGTACAGGCACATGACGTAGCCTGTGACGTCAGTACGGCGCGTCATACGTTGGCTACTACGAGAGTCACACGTTTCGTTTTGCAACAAGACTGCCAGGTGGCACTCATGTCTCACGTGTGAGGTGGTTTGATGCGCTCGTTCAGCTCCGCTGTACGCTCGAGACACTCTAACGCAGCGCCTCCAAAATACCATTCGCCGATCTTCTTGCGCAGAACATCACATTAATTCTTCACTCTCTCCACATGCAAGACTATCATCTTTTGACGACATTTACAGATTACATGCAGATGCGGGGCAAATTTTTATTCTTGCATTCTGTGGGGCATCCCAAGCTCTGGGAACAGACTGCAGTGTCAGCCGAAAAGAGCATTTATTTGCACTTTTAAAACAGCAAGGGTGCTAACCTAATTGGCACGCCAATGTAAGACACCACAGGATTGACGATGTTTCAGCGATGAACCAAGACAATAACCAAGCTTTCTGCCTGTGTAAACAAAACAGCGGAAAAAAAGTTTTAAAAAAAGAAGATGGTATGGAGCAGCGTGAAGCACAGATCTCAAGTGTGCCACGGGTGTTGCGTACAGCATTCCATTGTCATTGCGCAGTGCCTATGCACGACAGACAGAAAGATGTGTAAATATTAGAACAGGAAAGCATGTACTTGTAGCAACTGCATTTGGGCAGGGCAGGCAAACCCGGGCACAAGACAGAAGTCGAAACACTACAAATGCACAAAAAGGGTGGAAAGGCACAAAAACGTACCTCCATATGCCCATACAGTATGCAAACCAACGAATCTGGTATGCGTGTGGGTCTACGTGAAAGATAACTGTTGAGACATCTGATTTCATCTTTAGGCAAGTTAATTGACGGTAGTCTCATGCATGCCTTACCACTTCTGTATTATCAATACTCCATGCTTCAATCATCAGATGCATTTTGTCATTTTAAGCTGGTACGAAATTCTGCATTTATTAACTTTGGAGAGCTTTACACATTTGACAATGCAAAGAAAGATTAAAAGATGAGCTCCCGGTCAGCAATCTCTCATGTTCCAAAAATTTGCATGCCCTGCCTTTTAAAAATTACTACCTACTATGCAGTTTAGCAATATGTTATTCTAAGCTTTAAAACCTATTGCATACTGCTGCCAGGAGTGCGCCTGTGAAGCTCATTCCAGCAAAACCAGCAAACTTGCAAGTCGTCATGACCACACAACTTGAGAGGTAATAGAGGCTTAGCATAAAAAAATAAGTCATGCATCAGCTTCTTATCTACCACGTCACAGGTTGTATTTAAGTGGGTTGAGCGTAACTTTTCACATTTTTTGCTGCTGTTCACAGTGAGTAGGCACACCTCTGAGTGGAAACTGCCTGGTCGCAAGCGTGAGTGTTATTATTGTTCATTACAACTCACACCTTTCTTACTAGTCCTGGTAACCAACGCAACCTCTTTCGATTGCCAGTGTTGGTATACCGAAATACAGATGAAACTCTGTTAAAGAGGCACAATTTGAGAAAGTTTGTGATCTAACGAAGAAATTTCTATTTCCTAGAAGGTACCCATTTTCTAAAGGTGAAATGTTGCTGTCAACCTAAATTATCGAAATCCAATAAACAGCAGGAAGGGGAAGATAAAAAATGGCCCCGTATCTGCGTGCTTCGTTGCGAATATCGTCAAAAGAAAGCGAGAGCAATTCGCTTCCAGTGCTCGGTGGGACAAGCCGTACTCCTGGTCCCACCCATCACACTAGCATCCTGTCATAAATGCAATGAAGGTTTGTTTGAACAGATTTAGTTTCAAACACAGCATGCCAGTAGTGATAATGCGGTAAGAATTATCACTGCTGGCATGCTGTGCGTTCGTACCTTCATGACATGTCCGCAATGTTTTGGTCGCGTATGGTACTGTAGAGCATGACAGTTTTCAAAGAAGACCCATTTGTGAGATATGAATGTATTTTATTGCGTGGGAGGGTCAATGGGTGTGCACGTGTAATACTGGTGCGCCGAAGCAGATGCCTGCCGAAGTAAGCAGCACCGAGTCTTTGGCAGAGGGCCTTTTGTGCATAGCGTCCCATTTTCAGCACAGCCTAAGAAACATTGGTGTTGTGTTCCCAGGTTAGACCACATGCCTTAGTTTTGTGTTGGCAACACTGATAGTTCTTTAGTACGCTATGACAATAAAGAGCAGCAGCAGAAACATATACGCCTGTTTTGGAGTGACAGAGTGTTTTGCTCCTGCAACCTAATATTGATGGTAAAGATGGGATCAGCGCCCAAATAACAGAAGAGCATCAGCGGTATCAAGTATTAGCACACGTGGGTGCATCCCCACAGATTCACCATCGGGGCAATCTGAATGAAGGACAACACCCCCCGCCGTTAAGTCTGATGGCTGTCGCCATGAAAAGCTACATCGAGCCATTCAATCAGTCTCAGACCGAGAAATGAGAGGTCTCAAAGATGCTATTTCTTTTTGGGACGCCCATGGTATAATGTACCCTCATGAGCAGTGCTCCGCCTTCCTGAGCCTACGTGATCCCGCGATGTCTCAATTAGCCAAAGCCCTGGAGGCACTGACACAGTTGAAAGACACAGCACTGCCAACAATATTGTCTGCCCTGAAAGAGCATCTTGCAATGAAACCACCCTACCTAACCAGGCGTTACGATTTTCGTCACAACAACCAGGTACTGGGGGGAGTCTGCTGCCGGGTACCTTGCAGCCTTGTGCAGCACAGCACTGCAATTTCACGGCCCTCAACACTGCGCTGCTGGACCGTGTCATATTCAACCTTCACAACAAGAAGGTAGAGACGACTGTTAGCAAAAACGGAGGCTACCCTAGCCAGCGCCATGAACGAGGCCATTACAGCAGAGGTTGTGGATTGGGAGGCCAACCCTCTGCTGCGAACAGGCACTGCAACAGTTCGAATAGAGCCAGTGTCCCAAGGAACAACAGGAGACAAGGACGAAGGGCATAATGCCATGGAGGAGGTTGTCTTGCAGTTACTAGATTTTTCCGGTGCTCGGTGGGACCAAGTCAGACTTCGGGGTGAACCCTGCGCTGGTTGTGGCGGTCCGCACCAGCGCTGTTTCTGTTATTTTTGGTATGCATAGCACCGAAATTGTACAAAAACAGGACACATTGCCAAAGTATGTCATTGCCAAAGTATGTCATTCTTGAGAGCTGCCCGACCAACAAGAAAACTAGAAAAATGAAAGAGGAGGCAATTCAAGAGCGCCTCGCGCGAAAACATCTCATACTGCGATGACGGTGCATCCACGTCCACTCATGTGCTGCCAGAGCATGCCAAGAAGGTGTATGCCAACGTTAATATCGAGGGCACAGCCGGCCAAATGGAAGTCAACTCGGGCTTATCATTCTTGCATATTTCCAATGTCACAGCTATAACAATTTTTTCGAATAGATGACTACCAAAGCTGCAGCCGCTGGATACTATAATGAGGGACCACAACTGGATTGCTGTGCACAATATCACCACAGTCAGAGTGACAATCAACCCTTCCAGCAGACAACTGGAACTGGTGATCATTAAGGGCAAGTGCCCCAGCATCTGGATTGGTTCACACCATTAGGCATTTGTATCACCGGGGTGCAACATGCCAACCAGCCGAATAATCTGTGCAAGACGTAGTTGGACGATTCGTTTCTGTTTTCGACGGGGTGTTGGGTTGTAACTGTGGGCCACAGGTGAAGTTCACTTTCAACTTGGATGTTGCACTGGTCTGTCTAAAGGCTCGGAGAGTATCATTTGAACTCTGCCCCAAAATCAATGTTGAGCTGGATGTAAGCTCATACAACTAAATTCTCAAACCTGTTGACCACGCCCCTTAGAAAACGCCTGTCATAACTCCTTTGAAGGTCAATGGGGATATACACGTT